TAGCAATACAGTAAACATGGGTAAGTTTTATTTTCAACATGGGTATATCCATTTCTTTAATTGATAAATAACACAATATATATTATGAAACATGATATGAACTACACCAACCAAATTTTGAAAAAAGGTTGTAAATTTTGAAGGTGATTTATGATGAGCGTGTTTGGAAGTGGGCTTCAAAAATCTCGCGAAAAAAAATGGTCGCAAGCATACGATTGTGGTCGACAGTATAGACACATGACAACAAATTTTTCCAAGGCCATTAATTCAGTACTAAAAGTTACGTCATATCTCAATAATGAGTGTGGTGAAAGAGATGTACTTTAGGTTGGCTAAGGTTTGGTCCGTTAAAGGGAAAGAGATTGAATGTCTCATAAATAGAGGTCAAATTTGGGATCCTATAGTGGTGGAAGCAAATGAGCGCTTGACAACCTCAATGCTTGTTCTCAACTTCGACCGAATTGAACATACTTTCATTGTGGCATACATATGTCGTAACGAAGGAGTAGAAGGTCAACCATTTAGAGTTGATTTATGACATAGATGGTGTGATTGTGGTCATTTTTAGGAATGGAGATATCCATTTGCTCATACAATCACTGCATGTATGTATGCCGGTATAAGCGCATACATTTTTGTTGATGAGTGCTTACACCTACAGAGGATATTAAATGTCTATAGTTATAAGTTCAAACAGACCCCCAATGAATCATATTGGCCAAAAAAGATCATGAATAGTGGTTGCCAAATCTAATGCTTCGTAGAAGTCCAAATGGTCGACCTGAGTCCAGTAGTATTCATACCATTATGGATTTCCATATTAGAAAGAAAACTCAATCGAAGAGATGTGGATTATGCAAGGGTGAAGGTCATTCAAAAAAAATTCAAAATCTACCAAGATATATACCTCATCGGTAATCATATTTGTATTTGTATTTGAACGAATATTTGAATTTATATTTTTATTTCAATTTAAATGAATAATGAATGAATGTTTGATTTTGTATTTATTTTTTTAATTAGTGTGATAGATTTCCACATTTTATTTGAATGAATGTTTGATTTTTCCTATTTATTTTTTTGAATAAGTGTGATGGATTTCCATTTTTATTTGAATGAATGTTTTCCCATTTATTATTTGAATGAGTGTGATGAATTTCCACATTTTATTTGAATAAATGTTTGTCTATTTATTTTTGAATGAGTGTGATTGATTTTCATATATTATTTGAATGAGTGTGATAAGTTAAAACGAAATTAAACCATCCCAAAATTGACGGTGTAACAATACACCAATATTGACAACCATCCCAAACATCTTGCGACACATATGCAATAATTTCTTCATCTAAGTACGACCTCCAATTAAACCATAAAATTAAAATTTAAAAAAATTAATTAGATGAAATTATAAAATTATAAATAAACAAAAATAATAATCAATAATATATTATACATACCTTCTTTTTGCTATGAATGTCGATCTTCGACCTAAACTCTTTAATATTATTACAAACCAATCTCGTTCTTTCCATTTTATGCCTCAATTTGTATATCAATAAAAAAAATATTCATTAATTATTTTTAATCAAAATAAATAAATCAAAATTAAGATTTTAAATTAAAATAGAGAAATTATTTGTATGCGTTTATGGTATCTAATATTCAATTAACGCACTGATCAAACTCGGGACCAACTTGTAATATTGAACAAATGTTACATAGTAAAATCCAGCATCTTGCAAGTTATTTCAATTGAATGGTGAGGCTTATCGAAAATATTGAGTTGATGACGGAGAAATCGCTACTCGTCTTCCTACAATTAACTAAATCATGAAATGAATCAATTAATCAAAAAATAAACTTCTAGTATTTAATAACAATAATTCGTTCTCAAATAAAATATATATTCTATTAAATAATAATAACAACATCATTCCCAAATGGCTAGAGATATGTTGATCGTCAAGTCTCAACAGTTGATTTTGTTCTGCCATTTGAACGAATATGAAGAAAAAAAAATTTTAACAATAGTAATTTAATCTAATTATTAATTTAAACAATAACAATTTAATCTAAAAATAATCTAAACTAAATAATTTAAGCAACAACAACAAATTATCTATATTAATTTATGAACAAAATAATCAAATACAAAAAAAACTTACCTTCAAATGTAGTTATTTCTTTGTTTCTTTCTCTCTCCTTTCTTCTCCTCTCCTTTCTCTTCTCTTCACTTGATTTTTTATTCTCATTCGTATCACTCTTATATATCCCAAAACTTGCCATCCCCGTCTACAATATTATTGCAACATTATTGGTCACCAATAATCGTATCATTTTTACTGCTATGCAGTGTCATGCATACAACTCAGTGGCGGATGCACTAAGCCCCCATATGGGCAAAGTACATTCAATTATTTTGGAAAAGTGGTTAAATTTAGTTTAATGTGTTAAGGAAAAAAGAAAAAAATTACAATTTTTGCATATATATTATTTTTAAGAAAAGAAAATTAAAATTTTAGACTCCCATTCTTAAATTTCTGAATCCGCCACTGATACAGCTTCACGTTGATAACAAGTTTACCGGAGATAGACAATAGAAGAGTGAGAGACACATTGCAATCCTAACGTCTCTTCCATTCAACTTTATGTAATAGATGCATTAGTATTCAGCACTCATCTTTATTCAACTAGTAATTTAAAAAAATCGACATTTTATTGTTATTTTTATTCATACTATAATTATGGTTTGATATTATTATTATTATTATTATTATTATTATTATTATATTTTAATTATTAAATAATTAATATATTATAAATAATTATATTCAACAAGTCGAATAGATGGACTAATAGAAAATAATTCATGTAATGAAGAAGAGATGGATATGTGGACTAAAGAACATTTTCATAAACTTAAGTAGCTCGCCGTCTTGGACTATTTATTTAATTATAGTTTTAATCCTCAAAGCCGAGTAGTCAACGAAGCAGCCTTGGTATAATTAATAAGATTGATGTTTTAGATCAGAGTTTCATTCTATATAATTATTTTGAATTAAAATAATATTAATTAGATTATTTAATTCAAATATTTATAGCAGTTTACATATTAATAATATTATTGACGGGTCTACAAGTATTTAAAAGTGAGAATTAAAATCTTAATTTTCTTCAATTAATTATTTATTGATGTTTTCATCTTGAAATTTTATTTATATTTAGTTTATTCAAAAATTTTGTATATATATATATATATATTCTAAAAGATATTTTTAAATCTATTACTGAATAATACCAAATAATTGTCTAAAAATATAATAAATGATAATATTAATCCTCAAAGTTTACCATAGAATATGACAGCATAAGAGATTTGGGAACCGTGGGCGACATTGAAGTATTGGTTGGTGACTTTTTGGACAAATTTTTTAAATGGGGTCTTTTAAAATATAGCAAAATGGAATTTGGAACATTTTTCTAACTATGCATGTTGTTTATTATATTCAGAATAATTGTAACATACATTCTTAAATTAAGATTTTAGTTTTAAATTGATCTCTAAATTTTTAAATGTTTTAATTTCATCCTTAAATTTTTATTTTTATTTTAATTTGGTTCCAAACTTTTAAATCTTTCAATTTCATCCCCAAATCCTTCCAAATATGTAATTAGTTTCAACCTAAGTTTATTTTTCTCCAAGCACATTATAATATAGATTGGTCTGACAAATTTTTTAACATGAGATGTGATTAGTATATACAGATAATTTTGAATGAAGTTGAAGTGTTCAAAAAGTGTAGAGACCAAAACATAGTTTGGGGATGAAACTAAATTGTTCAAAAGAATGAGAAAAACTTTAGAATGATAGTCATAGTTTAGGGATGAAATTGGAACATATAAAAGTTTAAAGATCAATTTAGAATGAAGTTCATTGTTTGAGGACGTGTGATGCATTAACTCTTATATTCATAGAAACAAGTTGTAGTTACTAAACTATAAATTTTAGCCCTCAACTTTAATCTATTTTTCATTTTGGTCTCTAAATTTTAGTAATTTTAATTTGATCATTAAACTTTTAAATTATTCTTGTTTTATGTATTAATGAGGTGTTGCGTTTTAATTGGTTCAAGATTTTTTTAGTAGTTCTAAAAATTGAGGGTGAAATTTTTAACGGAATTATAATTTAAGTTCTTATTTTTATTAAAAAAAAGTTAGATATCTAAAATAGAAAAATATGGTATAGTTTTGGGGTACTCTTTCATTTAAGACTTGTACTTTTAAACTGAAATTTGAGTAGCACACGAACAAAATGACATTAATGATAAATAAATTATTATTTCTTAAAGTTCTAAATTCGAACTCTATAAATCCTCATTACCCCCTATTAATCAAAAAAAAAAGTTTGAGTCGCAGTCACTTATGCGTTGGTCAAAATTGAACCAAACGCCGATTATTTTGACACGGTGTAACAAATGAATTAATAAATAAATAAACTAACAAGAAAGAAGTATGAAACTATTGGATACATTTTTTTCATTTCAACGTGAAATTATATGGAAAAATTAATTAATTAAATGTAGCTCAATGAACCTTGATCTTCTTTACCATATTCAGATTTCAGAACTTATTCGATCAATGCATAAATGATATATATTAAGAACAGATTTGCAAAAAAAAAAGAGAATAATCCCATAAAAATAACAAGAATTGTACAACTCAAATTTGGCGGTCATGATTTCTCTTCTCCAATTCTGGCTGCTTTTTTTTTAAAGAATTTTAATTATTTATTTTTATTGTAAAAATTTTAAGTATTGGGTTGGAATCAAACTGGTCAAAAATATTGGCATTTATGAACAATTTGAGGAAGCAGACAAAGACGGAAGCTAATAAAATCATTTCCAGCCCCCCACTCTCTTTGTTTAATCCCTCTCAAGCCTTTTTAACTATATATATATTTGAAGGCTGCTTTTTCTTCTTTCAAGTTTTGCTGAGGATTTGGGTTGATAGTTTTTTGTTTTCTGGGTATCCCGTATACTTTTTTTATTTTTGGGTGAGAAAAAATGGTTTCAGGTGCAAAGACACACAGTTTTGAAGAGGTTGCAAATCACAACAAGATCAAAGATTGCTGGCTCATTATTTCTGGGAAGGTCAGCTCATTTGATTACTGTGTCTCCCTATTTCATAACTGTTTTAATTGCTCTGTTTCACAACTGAGATTTGGCTGCAACAGGTGTACGATGTAACTCCATTCATGGATGAGCATCCCGGCGGGGGAGAAGTCCTGCTTTCAGCGACAGGGAAGGATGGGACAAATGATTTTGAAGATATCGGGCACAGTGATGACGCCAGAGAAATGATGGAAAAGTACTACATCGGTGTGATCGACACCAAAACGGTCCCCGCCAAGCGCACCTACATTCCCCCCCAACAAACCCCTTACAACCCCAACGCTAAGGCCTCTGAATCCCTGGCTAAGATCCTTCGGTTTCTACTGCCCCTCTTCGTCCTCGGCTTCGCTCTTACGCTTGGTCTCTACACCAAGAAAGACTAGGAAGATTTGGCTCTCACTTGCCGCTTTCATCCCTTTTTACTTTAAAACAGAAACCATGTTTTATTTTCCTTTAGTACTGTCTTCAACCTCATACTGGTTCATTGTCCAAGATTATAAATATTGAGCAACTTTGAAGCCTTGTTTGTTCAAATGAATTGGGACGTCCAAATAAAAGTCAAAAGCTATGAATCTTTCAAACGTATAATTGTTCTTTGATGAATAATCATGCAATTTTTCAAACTATAGTGAATGAATACCAAAAGGGTACTATAATTCATCATAGCTTTGATGGATCTGTTATGTGTCTGCCAATCCAAATGAAAAACCAAGCCCCCACAAAGTAAGACAACACAAATATATTTTACGATAATTTATTTTTACTGTCAACGTTTAATAACGAGGGGATGCCCTTGTGCTTACTCTTCTAAGGGTCAGGTTTATGTCTGGTTTCAATATGAAGGTTGCTTTGTTTTCTATGTGGTGGTTTAGGTGAGAGAGTTGTTTTGAGACAAAAATCTTGTAAAGTAGAAGATTTACGATCATTTCCATTAAAATACCACAGAATCCTTGGTTGTGTAGCACTGAGAATGAAACGCTCAATTCTACATTACATATGACATCATATTGGGTGCAAACGTCAGAATGAAGGGTTTAAAAATCCAAAGAAGAAACTGCAACTAAAAAGATTTTCTTTCTTTATTGGCCACAAACAGAAGAAAACTGCAACTGCAGACACACTTTACTATCTAGCACAAAGGTAACCTATGAAGCCTCCAGTTTACGACTGAAAACCTTTTTTCATAAGTCATATCCATTAACAGATCAACTCGGTAACAATAAACTCCAAACAGAGGTTTCAGTGATAAAACAATAAACCATAAACCTCATACTTATTTTTATTATACCTTCAACAGAAATCCATCGAACGATAGCTTATAAGTTACTTAGGAACAACCCTTTCATCCCCCCTGAAAATGTGAGGTTTACCAATCCACCAGAGTTCAATTTCTCACGTCCTCAACTATCATAACAACCATGCCAAGACAAGCACAAAACTTGAAAGAAAAAAAACTTCTTTTATAAAACACAATATAGTAACAAGCAAGGTAATTAACAATGGGGGTGTAGCTCATATGGTAGAGCGCTCGCTTTGCATGCGATCTTTTGAGATTTTTTTTTTCATTTCCACTTTGCGTCTCAGATTGAGAAGATGCCATTCGCAACCGCAGTGATCTTTTTGCTGGCTGTTTGGTTCAATGGTGAGCTGGCATTTACTAACGACATGGGAGAGGCTTCATACGGGCACGTGGCCAAGATTGTGTGATGTTTTGTTTGGGAGATTACCAATACTGTTTCCGAACTAAGTGAAACGAGAAGGAAAATAACTCATATAACCACGTATATATAATAACTTGTTAACGAAATGGAAGGCTTCACCAGAAAACAAAGAGAGACGCGGAGTTGTTAACGAAATGGAATGGAATTTGTTTGTGATTTTTTTTTTGTTGATCATTTGGATTTGACGGATTATTCATTCCGGTTAAAATTTTATCAGGTATCCCACCGGACCAGCAGAGGTTGATCTAAGCCGGAAAGCAGCTTGAGGATGGCCGTACTCTATCTGACTACAATATTCAGAAAGGTTTTAAATTGGTCGTTACGGAACCTAATATGATTCTCGAAAAAATTTGACACATACAAAAGATGTTTAAAATATTTTGATTTATCATGTTCCGTATTGAACTGTGAATTGAAAGCGTGGATATGCTTAGGTAATGTTTACCTGTTGAGAAAGTGATAGAAGTAGCTGAATCGAAATTTTTAGCAGTCAGTAGAACTAAATATGTTAGCTTTTCTATAGCTTCAATTTTATCAACAATATTTAGATAATTTTGTAGGATCTCTGTGATGAGAAGAAAATTCTCTCATGTTATCTCCAATTTTGTTCTTTAGAGTACTGAAATTATGGTGGAAATTGGGATGCTGACTCGAAAGCTTAAACTGTTCTCTCCCCTCCCCCAATTTTTTCTCTCTATATGATATTTAAATGTTAATGTTTTAGTGATATTTTCTAGAGTTAACCTTGCATCTGGTTCTGAGGCTTCGTGGTGGCATTATCGAGCCTTCTTTGATGGCATAGGCTAGGAAATACAATCAGGACAAGATGATCTGCAGCAAGTATGTCTACACTATCTCCTTGCCCATAATTTCAACTGTTTAAATAATCTTAGTTTACGAAGTTTGTTTGAAATGAATTGTTCGTTTATTATCATATATCTTCTATGCATCTAGTTATACTTTCCCTCTGCATCCTGTCTACCAGTGGTGCATTTTGATGTTTAGTTTTAGGCATAATAACAAGATCCGTTTATTTAGGAAATGATCTCTTTATTAAAATTTCTTGCAAACTGATCTGATTTGTTATTACTTCCATGCTGCATAATGCTACATACTATTTTTGCTACCTTAATCTCCTTTTATAACTTCAATATTTTCTTTTGAGTTTCCTGCCTTGTGGGGGTAGAATTAAATATTTTACACTAGTACATATGTTTAAGCCATTGAAAGCAAAGAGATTCTTCATTCAATACCATATACAATAGAATATAGAATTGAAAAGCGTATATATATATTTCAGTAAAAGTTGAGAAAATGAAAGTAGAAAATGAAAACCTAAATAACTTTACCGATGAACGGGGATATCTTTGCTGTAGGTGTTATGCTCGTCTCACTACAGCAAAAGTGTTCTGTAGCGGCGTTTTAAGGGAAAACGCCACAAAATTTAAGCTTTTCGCGGCGTTTATAAAAAAATTGCCACAAAATATACTTTAGTGACGTGTTTTTTTTAAAAAAACGACGTAATAAAGTGGTAATTTAGCGGCGTTTATAACTAAAACGCCACAATAGAGTTGTTTATAGTGACGTTTCTTCAACAAACGCCGCAATAGTTTGTTAATTTTGCGGCGTTTGTATAAAAACGTCGCAATAATGTTGTTTATAGTGGCGTTTGTTCAACAAACGACGCTATATAGAAGTAATTTAGTGGCGTTTATCAAAGAAACGCTGCAATAGGGTTTTTTTAGTGGCGTTTGTACAAAAAGCGCCGCAATATAGTAAAAATTTAGCGGTGTTTTTCCTACAAACGCCGCAATATGTTGTTTATCGTGGCGTTTTTTAGAAACGCCACTAAAAAACCCTATTGCGGCGTTTCTTTAGAAAAACGCCGCAAAAGGGTCTATAAATGCTCCACACCTTTCTCCTGCCTAATCCCTAGAATCATTTCAACGTAGCTTCCCTAAAAGGGATTTCTCTGGTTCAACAACGGCCCTCACACGATTCCATCCGACGTCGTCTTCTGTATATCCCAGTGACCAAATTTGCCATATCAGTAGCGAACAATTATCTCAGGATTGCACGGTTTGATCCCTTCTCTCACTACTGAACTTTTTCATTTATTTTTTGTTGGTATTCTAAAAATGGGGAAAACCCAGAAAGCTAACGTAATGGAGAAAAATAATAGCTTTCAAATAGGAAAAAAATATCTATACATATTGTTTTACTGGTTTACTGCTTGGGAGAAGTGTTTTTTTGCTTTCGAATAGAAAAATAATTACTTTCTAACAGGAAAATAATACCTTCTGAAAGCGTGAATATCTATACGAAGAGCAGGTGTTGCATTTAGTAAGAGAAAATATAGTCGGAATGTCCACGTGGCGTCTTTGCTCTGACGATGGATCAAATTATCATTGGGAGGCAATCAGTTCGAACTTGCCGTCGAAAGTCGCTGATTACCCGAAAGGCCCTCCTATTGCAAAATACACTTCCATGGCCGATCTCCTAAGTGAAGGTAATAATTAATCACTGAAATTTTATGCCACTATATTGTTACATTGAACTACTATAAAATTTCATAGATCGCATGCATGTAGGATGTTCAAAGCATATTGAGAACGATGATAGATGAGTTGATAAATACCCGATAATTAGAACCGAAATTGGTAACTCGGTGGCGTTGAAAGAATCTTCAATTGCAAAAGCATTATCTATCCTCAATGATGACGACGTTGGCTCTACTGATAGTCCAAGTAAACGTTTCTATCTTGCATTTTAATTTTTTTTAATGTTTGAATCAGTTCCAAGGCACCTCCAATCAAGTTTCATACTGTAGGTGGAAGGTCGTTATCTGTTTCAAGTGAAGCACTGAAGCGCGCACGCAATCTTCTTGGTGAACCGGAGGTAGGGGATTTATTTGGTGAAATGGATGAAGAATTTCTCCATATAGAGTTTTCACGGGGGGAAAACTTAACGATGCGTCGTGAAACAAAGAAAATGACTTTCTTACGTCATTTCCCCACGAAGGAGCAATGAAGACTAAATTGTAGTGAACAATATGGTGAATACTGTTTATGCATAACTTTAATGTTTCTACATTTTAATGTATTTTGTTGTTATGTAATTTTATGCAAAACTTCTGTCAAAATTAAATGTATGATTGTTGTTAATTACATAAAATTACTACATGAATGTAAATTTAGTATATGTAGATTAGGATTATTATGTAGATTAGTATTTTTATTAAACATTTTCTCTCTATTTTTATTTTATTTTAAATTTTGGATTGTATGTAAATGTTCACTTTTTTTTCTTGTTTTTGAATATGCGGTTCTGATTAGTTTATGGATATTAGGATTAATATGTTTTTAGGAGATTCTTTTAAATAAAGGAAAAAATTAGGAAAAATAAGGCTACAAATGTATTTTCTCATATAGCGGCGTTTACAACCCAAACGCCACAAAATGAAATTTTCACGGCGTTTTATTAAAAAATGCCGCTATAGAATAAATTTTAACGGCATTTTTTAGTAAAAATGCCGTAATAGGGATAGTTTATAGGGGCAGTGTTTTCATAAATGCCGCATAAATATGATTAATTTAGTGGCGTTTGTGAGAAAACGCCGAAATAGCAATAAACTTTAGTGGCGTTTTTGAGAAAACGCCGCAATATCCTTATACTTTAGTGGCGTTTGTGACCAAACGCCGTTATATCCATGTTATTTAGCGGTATTTATAGGAAAAACGCCGTAATAGTTTTGTCATTTAGTGGCGTTTTTTAATAAACACCTCAATAGTTTTGTGTTTTAGGGGCGTTTTTGTAATAAACGTCGTATAAGTTTGGCGTTTTAGGGGCGTTTTGGTAATAAATGCCGCCATTGTCAATCGTTATATCAGATATCCCCAATTCTGCCCGATCCCTATTTATTTAATTCATGATTTTCTATCGATTGCCAATGCGTCTTCATCAAATCGGAACAACTCACCACCGTCGAGCCTCTACTGACCAACATTGCGCCGACACTCATCATCATCGCGCCGTCGGTCACCCCTCAGTTTTTTATTCCGGCTCGATACCTCGCTTATCTCGCTTCGCTCAGTTCATCTTGAAAAACCCATCGGTTCAAGCTCTGCTCTTCTGTGGATAAACCCTAGGCGCTCTTCATACCCTTTTTCTTTATGTTCCAGAACATGCGATTCTCATTTCTTATAAGGTGATTTGTTGATATATGAGAAAAAATTATTACAACTTTATTTCTTGTTTTAATTTAATTACTGCATTTATCAGTAATTTCGCTTTTGTTTTCGCTGTTTTCTGTTGGCTTGAATCAATTTAGACTCCATTTAAATAGTTATGAGTTATATTGAAACCCGGTTACTTTGACATTTAGTTTCTGATTTTTGTAGGGAAGATTATATATACTGATTTCTTTTGCTTGACTGTAATGTGTTCCATTACGAGTTTAGAGTGTTGTATTTTTTTCAAGAACTCGTGACAATAGTAGGTGCATGTATCTTGCTCAAAGCTAGCTTTTTTTCCTTTCCCCTTCCCATTCGAAAGAGAAACACCCCCATATTTGAAGTAGATATTTTCTGCTTATATTAGATTTTAATACTAAATACAAACTTCACCTTCATCCCCTCTTTTTTTATGTTGTTAATAAGAACATTTTATGCAAGTCTAGTCTTCTAAGAAGGATAACCTTAGGCTCGATTGTATGGAGGGATGTTTATTTATATTTTTGAGGTATTATTATTAAATTCAAAGCATGAGAAAGAATGTTTCAATTCTCTTGATGACTATGTAACCATAGATTTTGCTGGATGTCATTTGATTGTCTATGGCTGGTAATTGAGGTCTATCGATAGTTACTTCACTCTTCCACTTCATAAGTTCCCAAATATAAGTTCCCAAATATAAGTTGATATAACGAAGGTGACTACTGGTTTTTGCAGGGGTGTAGCTAGTTTAGCACAAAACGGTGATCATCGCTAATAATTAATGACGATACCGTCACTGTAATCCCCTTATATTCTGGTTTGATCTATATTCTTTAACGGTTTCTCACTTTACTGTAATCTGAAGAAATTCTTATATGTTGTATTTCTGGTTGCATTTCTTGAACTTTTTGTAATAATCATTAACATGGAAGAATATATAAACGTTTAATTCAAATAATATAACATTGGATGATGTTCCAATTACATGGTATCTGTGTTTGATATTCAAGTATGATAGGAATTTGAATATGGTTTCTAGAGTATGATCTTCCAATTATATGGTATGGCTTAAAAATTGGTGCCGCCACCATTTCATCGTTGTCATTTCTTTCTTTTCATTTCAAGAACACTGAAGAAGTGATATCTTTTTTATTATATTCTGCAGGTAGGTATTCATAGCGAGACCATTTAAAACCAGATTATTAAGGTAATTTAATTCATATATATCTATATATAGACTTAAGTTATAAATATGTCTTCATTGATTTTGAACAGAATAGTGTATCTTTAATATTTGTTGTATCATGACTATCATAAAAATGACTCATTCTGATACTCTAGGTGAACCTTGATAAATATAGGAGTGAAATTGATACTCAAGATTTGCATATCATTATTTAAATAGGGGTATCTATACCAATTGAAAAAATATATTATAGGCGTCGTTTGAAATGAGACACGAGTTAGTTGTTTAAGACTAATATAAAGTACTAGATCCTAGAATGTTGAAAATTACATGAAGGAGTATAGTTAACATCTTATAATAAATTGAAGGACTATATCTGATAGTTTAATGTTTCTGTCAAGTGAAACAAGTATTTTATTGTCACGATCCAATGGATGACGGTTGGTATGTTGTGCTTCGAAATACTCCCAGAGACTTGATAGACATCGGGGATGGAAGTAGAGATGACATTGAAACAAGATCAGAGTGTTTACCTCTACTACCACAAAACTTAGATGAAACTATCAGTAATACAACACAATTTCAATGGGTTCGGGAGGAAGTTGATGAAGATATTTATGACAACTGACATTACATAAGACTGTTGTACGATTTTATATCTTCATTTATTTATTTATAATGTTATAACCCTTAACATGTTGTCTTTCAATGTATTCATTAATTAAATCATTTTTTATTACTCATGTTTGTTTATTACAGATATAATGCCGAGGAGAAAAATATCTGATTTGCGGGTTGTTCGAGCTTCTGAAGACCATGAAGAAAGAAATAACGAGGAAACGAATGGACCTGAGTCTTTCGAAGTTCCTGAAACTGTTGAAGAAGTAGAAATTCAAGGTAATCTTCGAAACTTTATTTACTACTTTATTCATTTTCAAAACTGACATTTAATAATTTCTTATATAGTTGAAAATGCTGGAACGCACAAGACTCGA